TAACTGCAGATGTGAGGCAAGGCAGGAACAAAGAGAAGATGCCAAAAATGATACCGACTTGGAAGTTTTATTGTGCGTGGAAGAGAACGATGGAAAGATCAGCAAGGAAACTTGAGGATATAATAGGAATAGATCACACTACAGCGTTTCGAATTTTGAAACGACATAAATACTATTCCTTCAAATATGAAAAGCACCAAGAGCTACGATATGGGGACGAAATACGGCGGCAGGCGTTTTGTTTTGATATGATGGAAAGAGCAAACACGGATAGGGAATTTTTAAAAAACATATGTTTGACTGACGAATGCACGTTTACCTAAAATAATGAACCCAATGTTCAAAATTATCGATATTGGAACAAAGAAAACCAACACAGGTTTGTCGAAACAAGGACGCAATATCCACAGAAAGTAAATGTTTGGGCAGGGATATTCGGACACAATATTATCGGGCCGTTATTTCTTACGCGAAATTTAAATGCAGAATATTATTTGGAACTACTCGAAAATCATATTTTACTTGCTTTACATGATGCCGCTAGGGAAAATCAGGAAGTTTGTCACATAGTACCCTGGCTGTTCGGGAATATTTAGACAATAGTTTTAACGGAAACGTTATTGGCCTAAATCATACAGTAAATTGGCCAGCAAGGTCTCCTGGGGCGCTATTCTGTACAATCGTCGGTATCGGTAAGTTACCGACAGCTATCGGTACCTACGGCCAATGAGCGTCGTGTAAATGGTTGTTGTCGTAGTGATGAGCTGTCATTAATAGGACATGTAGCAAATTTGTACCGACGACTATCGGTATCTCTACCGTGGGGTTAACAAGGGCACGGTAGAGATACCGATCCTCGTCGGTACAAATTTGCGATATCTGTCATAGATGTCGATCGATAACTATGACAACAACAATCAACACATGTTTACTATATACAAATACGTACCGATACCGACGATTGTACAGAATAGCGCCCCAGGGGATAAGTTACCGACAGTTATCGGTACGTACGGCCAATGAGCGTCGTGTTGATTGTTGTTGTCATAGTTACCGATCGGCCCTATGGCAGATATCGCAAATTTGTACCGACGAAAATCGGTATCTCTATCATGCCCTTGTCAATCTCACGGTAGAGATACCGAGAGTCGTCGATACAAATTTGCGATATCTGCCATAGGGCCGATCGGTAACTATGACAACAACAATCAACACATGTCTACTATATACAAATATGTACTGATAGCTGTCGGTAACTTACCGATACCGACGATTGTACAGAATAGCGCCCCTGATATTTCGCCAAATGATTTCTTTTTCTGGGGCCATTTAAAAAACAGGATATACAAGGATAAAAAATACCCAAATCTAGACGAGTTAAAAAATGCTATTTCTGCCGAATGCAATAGAATTTCAGTTTACCAACTAGCGAATGTAAGAAGAGAATTTTATGATCGCTTGAGTTATTGTCTAGCAGTCGATGGAGGAATATTTGAACATCTTAAATCCTAAAGTTCTAACAATTTAATAGTACCTAAATTAATATAATACCTTGTAATTGATTACTTTATTTTACTTTAATTCATATTAATTTTGATTTATAAATACATCTTTAAGATTTCCGATGTAGGAATGAGTTTTCAATAATAATAAAGCACTAAATAGGTAAATTTCTGAAATGACAACTTTATTTGACAGTTATCTTTTACCTTGACTGGTGCTCATAAGTAAATACAGGGCCATAAGAAAGGAGAAATATTTAAAAAGAAATCGGCGATAACTCGTAAACGAGCTAATCAAAAATATCTAAAGTTATTCTTTTGAATGTGGGTTTTAGTGCTCTTCAATAAACCTAAATAGAATTATTCTCTAAAATAATTAGGGAAGCCAATAAATAATTGACCCCATTAAAATTTACATGGGATTTCCTATGTCCCGTCCGACGATGCAACACCCGGTATATCATTATAATAAAACTGTTTAAACCATTCAAAGAAAAACATAGATATTAAATTAAATAAATAATTAGTCATAATTTTTATGACCGTCTCATAACAAATTTTATTGATTTACCGATAAAAATTAACGATCAGCATAACTTTTATATACCCACGACGATTTTTTTAATTGGTTTCCAATTATTTAACATCATTTCAAAACTTTTTTATATTTTCGATATCTTTTTCAGTGGCAAAATGCTCGGGATTTTTTCAAGATTATATTTCAATAAACTCCTATACGATTTCGACCAAAACAGCCAAAAGACAAGACCACCAAACACCTTGGTTCCACCCGCTGAGCGTTTCCTGAACCCAACAAATAAATTAGGTGACAAAACAGCCTTTGTCCACGACAAAACTCGGTGTCTTCTCATATTTTTTTTCAACTCTCTGTTTATATATACGCTGGCAAACGAGCTAAGCGACTCTAAATCATTTAATTTGTCAGAAGAATTTTTTCGGTTGTTGTTTTGTAAGGATATTCTTTAGGAAAAGAAGTAAAAAAAGGTAAGAGGCGCGTGGGTGAACGCTAACCAGATACTCCGATGACTTCTGTGGATTTTACACAATACTAATGTTGTATTTTTCTTGTAAAAAAATACACTTACTATAAATTCCTGTCAAATGATTGGTATTCTGTTGTTTGTCTAACAGATCATGTTTCAAATTCTTCTGAATTTAACTTCTGAACTACTTCCTATTGAACCTACAGTAAAAATTGTCCACTCTATTTGTGTAATAAAGACTTAACATTCTCAATCTGTGAACAGCGGTGCACTAGGTGCACCTTAAAGCCTATTTAAGTGCAGCACTTGTCAAATACGAATGAAAGTTTTCAAGAATATTTTGCAGAGAAACACCAAAAAAAAATTGGGTTCCAAATCCTTTCTCTGAAAAGTCAGCACCATTAACTCCTGAGCAGTATGAATGCTTGATTAAGCTGATTTTCAACAACTGGATAAAAATATGTAAACAAAAATGATTACAATATATGTATGATATTTTAAAGCCCTTGTTTGTTTATGAAAATAGGTTTATAAAAATTGTAAAATCAATTTACCATCAACAATATTTTATTGTTTATTATTACATAGTTAATAAGGACAGATTGTATCAATAGTGAAAGCCTACGTTTGCGTAACACTAATTTGATCTCCGCTGTTATATTGTAGTGAACTATCTTGTCTCAAATTAGAGAGGCAATAGAAAAACTTGTCCTGAAGCCCACGCTGTGTGTTATTTAATCCTCGATATGATTTGCTTCTCTGTCTTCTAATTAAATTAAGTGAATTAAGACGTCAATTAAACCGTAAATCGATTAAATTGGCTTGTTGGCGTGGGCCAGGCCGTATAATTTATGGATTATTAATTTAAATCTTTTCGGTAGGAAGCAATAATTAAGATACGTAGTTTAAATTATTTTTTAGTACCTACCTTTTCAACATCCTGAACATTTTTTACTTTTAATAATTTTAATAATAATTATATTTTTAGCCGACCATACCAATAGATTAGATCTGCCTGTCTGTCTGTCTGTTTGTCAGTAACACGATAACTCAAAAACCGCTAAACCGATTTTAACCAAATTTGGCACAAAAATACTGTGGCACCCGAGAATCTGGCCATTAGTTTTTGGTGTGGGTGGGGGTTGGTAAGGGGGTATGGGAGGGGGTTAAAAATTTTAAAAAATTGTAACTCCAAAATTACAGTAGCTAGCGAAACGCGGTTTTCAATTTAAGATTAGGAATAATATTTGCAACAAAATTTGTAATAACATCAAAATCAGTCAAAGTCGCAGTTTTTGAGATAAAAAAAATGCCAATCCAAACTTTTGATTAACATATTTTAGTATGGGCGGCTATACGTGCGTCCCGGCGCCAATTTTTTGGTTCTCTACTCAGAAAAGTAATATAGACTGAAAATCTTTAGTGTAAAAAACGAAGGTAGGTCAAGATACAAACAAGGTGTAAACAAATGCTAATGTTGCCACTTATTTATTAAAAAAGCTTATTAACGAAGATCGTATATGATTATTGTTATTATACATATAATGATATATTATGATGTATGCGTCCAGCTTTAAGATGAAAATTGAAACAAATTGATCCCCGAAAAACATTCGATGAAGGAATCATTCCCAATCCGATAATTCATCAAAAGTGAAGTCTTGCACTGACTCGCTTTGGGCTTGCTAGTCTTGGTCTTGCTTTTTGTACAAGACCAAGACTAGTCTCGCTAGTCGCTATAATCACTATACTCCATATTGATTCCCCACAGCGTTTTACCTAAGTTAGTTTAATATAGTTCTTTCTTAATCTTTTTATTCTTACGAAAAATCAATGCCACAAACCCACATACTCACAAATTCGAAAAGCCAATAAACGACAAATCCTCCCAAACTACGTCATTTAGGAAAAGCGTTATTGGTCGAATTTCCTCGGGTCCATTTCCAGCAACGAGACGCGGTCAGTCGGAAAACGGCGGAAATTTTCTGCTGAAAGAGGGGAATTGAGGAGTCGGGTCACGTGCCGTTCGAAACGTCTTTATGCGGCCGTAAGAGAATCGGGTTTTATTTTCCTAATTCAAAATATGGCGTGTACACTGAAAGAACTAACTTTCTCTATGAGACATATTTAAAACTAGCGTGTACCCGCGACTTCGTTCGCGTCGAATTAATCATTTGTGATGGTGATGATAAAGCAAAGCAAGAATTTCCATTAACATACAAACTGGATAAAATTTTCTCACATTTATGTCAGCATGAGAAAAAACAATATGGCGATATTATTATATATATTATATATACAAATCAGTTTATAATGTTCTTCGCCGTCTTCTGATTTCCAGTCTCCATTGGTCTCTGTCTGTCCAGAGGTTTTCGTCTATTCCTCTTGTTCTGATGTCCCCGTCTATTCCTTCTCTCCAACTCCATCTAGGTCTCCCTCTCTTTCGTGTGCCTCGTGGTGTCCAATTGAGTATTTTTTTCGGAATTCTGCTCTCTTAAATTCTTTGTACGTGTCCGTACCACCTGAGTTGGTTAATTTTGATGTCTTCTGATATTCTGTGTTTAACGCCCATGATGTTCTGAATTCTTTCATTTCTAACTCTATCCAGTTTCGATTTTTCGGCCGCGCGCCGCCAAAAGTCCATTTCTGTAGCTTCGAGTAACTTAAGGTTTCTTTCTTTCAAAGGCCATACTTCACTACCATAACTAATGATACTTTTAACTATGCTGTTATAAATGTTGTGTTTGTTTTCTTTTGATACGGCCTTATCCCATAAAATACTATTCAGTTGTCTAATTGCTTGTCTTCCCTGGTTGTTTCTGTACTTAATTTCTTCATCAAGGCTACCATCGTTGGTAATGTGCATGCCAAGATATTTATATTTTTGGCAGTGTTTTATTTCTTGCTGTTGCTGTTCTAGTATTATGTTTTGTTGTTCGCCGCCGATACACTTATATTCCGTCTTCTTAAGGTTTACCTCCAGTCCCCACTTGTTATACTCTTCAATTAGTTTGCGGGTCATATATTCCAGGTCCTCGTAGTCTTGTATTATTTGATCATCAGCGAAACAAAGAGTGTAAAGTATCGAGTCGTTTGGTGGTATCCCCATCTGTTCACACTTCCTTTTCCACGTTTTCAGAGCTTGTTCCAAATAGATTTTAAACAGTGTCGGCGATAGACAGCAGCCCTGTTTAAGACCTTTGTTCATGCTGAATCCCTTTGATACTGTTTGTCCTTTCTTTACTCGGCTAGTGTTGTTCTTATAAAGTTCTTGGACAGCCTTAATTAATGTTATGCTGATATTCGTTTTCTCAAGGGCTTCCCACAATTTAGACTGGGGTACACTAGCATATGCTTTCTTGAGGTCTACGTAGAGGAGATGTATTTCTTGATTTCCGCTGTGAGTTATTTAATCCTTGTTTAATCCTAATTATTATATAACTTGGTAATATTTGAGAGGTATATAGTTTCATCTCGTTGGAATTTGACTTTCGAAAAATCAGTTTGCAAAACATAAGCTTTTTACGTAAAGCAGTTTAAGCAGAATCGTGATTACTCAATGGTCATATTTTATGAAACACCCTGTATAAATTTTTAAAAAATCTTAAAATATGTAAAACAACAAAATAAAATATACGTGCTTAAGAGTTTTTCCGAAAAACTCACCGGTTTTTAAATAAAAAATAGTCTAATATTTGAGGGGTGGTTTTACCCCCTTAGAATTCGAGTTACGAAAAATACCTTCTTATCGAACCTCTACACCCTAAAGTCAATCCGTTTTCCAAATATCAGCTTTTTACGTCAAGCGCTTTAAGCAGGATCGTGATTAATCAATGACCAGATTTTTCGAAACCCCCTGTATACATTTTTAAAAAAATTTTAAAATGTGTAAAAAATAAAATATAAAAACACAGCAGTACGGTTTAGGCTATACTTTTCCTTATCTATTGCATTTTTTCTTGTGTAGAATTAGAAAGAGATATGATAAAAACGGTAGATTGTAATGGCGGTCTTTACGGTTGATTTTATGATATTTCATAAGTACGAAAAGTTTCTTATTGTTCCAATAACTTTTCCAATAAAAATTTCCAAGAAAAATGTATCGATAAGCGATTCCGGGGATAAGGAAAAGCAATCGTATAAAACGTGATCCGTTCTATTTTCTATTTATAGGAAAAACAGGATTTTATCGAGATTTTTTCCATTTTTTGTTGTTTTTCAACATTTTGAACATAAAAATTCAGCAAGTCCTGGTTAACAGTTATTTTGAAATCGTCCAACAATACGTTCCTGATATTTAATAAATAATTAAGTGGTCTTCAAAATTTCAATTCTGAATACATTGTGTAACGTTTTTAGTTCGTTACATGTCTTTTTTATATATAATATATGATGTCTGGCGTATTATCACCGGATACCCTATTGTTCAGGCCGGATAATTTATTTGACGCGCTTGGCGTAATTTTTACGTTCTCTAGTCCACAACCCTGTTATCGCTATGTGGAGGCGCTGTCAACATCGCTTCTGTCAACTCTCTGTGCTGTGGACTCACTTTTGCTTTTAGCGCTCTGTAGCATCCCAGCTTTTAGAAATGGTGATTATTTAAATCTTGCTGTTAATCTGAATCAGCTGCTATTTCAAAGCAACAGGGTAGAGTTTTGGATGTCCCAACTTAACTTGTATTTGTATTTTGCTGGCACGTTCGTTGTTTGTATTTTGCTGCCGTTCGCAGTGGTAATGTTTTATAAAAAACGCTACAATTGATTAAAAATTACTTCGCTGATTACGTTCTACTTCTAACTTTGTTTTGAACGCCGGCCGGGATGAAAATAAGCTGTGATTATGCAAATATTGCTTTTCCGTGTTGGCCATTTAGTTGTATTGATAAATAGTAATTTTTGCATTGAAATAAATGTCGATTTCCCAAATTACAAAATCAAAATTTGTAAATTTACAAGAAGACAAAGAAAATCCAAGAAAATTGTCGATAAGTAATTGATATAATTTGCTAATTTTTTTATCGATAATTTGTTTTACCGTCAGTACTAATTATTATAGAAACCTAAAACTAACTATTTTAATCATGAAACGCACATAAATAGTTTATTTTAAATCATTTGTTTAATTTTTCGGTTTAAATAAAGCCTGTCCAGATCGGATAGGATCATCTAAATCCTATCTTGGTCCATGCAGAGCCAGTAATACACAAATGTATAACCCGTAGTGCAGTAAAACTTTGGATCAAGCAAAAGCAGTATGTCCACTGGAGAAACAGTCATAGCACGGACTTTATCCAATAACCTAATTCTAAAACTAGAAAGAAACTGCTAATGTTTAGCAGTGATAAAGCGCGGAATATAAGCTCAAACAAAAGCTTGTTTATCTCTACAATTTCCTGTCTCATAATGTACCGTTTGTGTTGGGGAAGGGATCATAGATTCATAGTTGTCGATTTTCGAAAGAAATCAGTACTTACATGTATATTATTTCGAATATTTTTCATTTTATTGTTTTTATGGAAAGCACTCTTCATTAAAATGTTGTATCCTATGTTATAGGGCTTGTTTCTCTCTACAATTTTCTGTCTCACAATGTACTCTTTGTGTCGAGGAAGAGATCATTTATATTTGAGAAAGATCTTTTTATTTGAGAAAGCAAGGGTAGAACAAGAGGAACTATGTTCCCATTCTATCAAGGACCTGTACAAGGTGTAGTATTGGAATAGGAGAGTGGATACATACATAGAAGGGGGACAAACGCAACAGGCCTTACAGGCCGCAGTGATTCCTGTACAGTTCAAGGTGTAGCAGAGTACAGGAATAGGAGAGTGGATACATACATAGAAGGGGGACAAACGCAACAGGCCTTACAGGTCGCAGTGATTCCTGTACAGGACGGCCTCTTATTATTGGCATAAAAGGGCTGTCCAACAAGTCAGGGAAGATTTAGACAGACGATAATAAAAAAATGACATTCCACCAAACATTCCACTTTAAAATGTATTGTCGACAATCAAATAAATACTTAAATGAAACTGTAAATTATTCCAAACTTCTCAATATTTAACTTTAATCGGAACGCAAAAACTCACCCTTTTTTAATCACTACTACAGTATAGTTAATTAAACTGAAACCAGCACCCTTATTTTCCCTTTTTTCCCTTGTAATAAGAGTAAAACAGACTAAAACAGATCCCGAAGCGGATCGCCATCGTATACAATCAGCTAACCGAAAAAAATTCGATTACTTCACCCTGAGGGCCGGTGGGGGGCAATTCCCCCCTTATTTATACGACAATTAGCGTAAAGACACGTCCCCAAGGAACGATCAGGGAGACGGGGTCTTCTTTTACCCCGATTATTTACCGGGAATCTGTCTGATTTCTTTTGTTCTTTGGTGGAAAATAAAAACACGCGATGCGCAAACGATGGTGGGAGACATCTTACGGGACTAATTTGGATTTTATAGATGAAAGTGGACAAAGGTGGAGGAAAATAAATAAATAAAATTGCAGAGAGAAAAACGCGAATTATTGATATTATTGACAATATGGCATTAGTTACAGTGAGACTATTCAAATTGCTTTGATTATCCCTAGATCTAGGCAAAATTCTATAAATCTGGCAACCGTGTTATAGACACGTAAAGAAGTGGGGATGGTATTGTCATTAAAAGGTTGAAGGGAGGACTGAACACAGCACCGTTCAGTCCTCCCTACGTTTTAAGTTTTAATGTTAACACCGTTCAATGCCGTCTCTAATAGAACAGCCTTGGGGCGAGATTTATGACGTCACGCTAGTTAGATACTACGGATTAATAAATATGTTGTAGAATACATGGAAAACATAATTATTCCTCAGATTTTTGGTTTGTATTTTAAAAATGATATAGTTTACATGAAATATACATAATATACAGTTAATATCGGACATGCTGCCTCGAACTGCTTTGCGGCCCCGCGTTGCGTTAGGTGCGCCAAATCCCTTCACACCAAATCTCAATCCAAAAAAATAAAGAGGCTGATGCACCTGCTATTTGTTCAAATTGCGGAGATCCGCATCCAGCTAGCCACAATTCATGCCCAAAAATCCGAGAAATCGTAATCCCAATACTAACATCCTTAGTCAGCCGGAACCCTCAAGGGTCCCGACTCCTATCCCCTCAAATCCTACATTTTATAGATCGTTAGGTGCGTAGAGAAGGTTTTCGAATGTTCTCGTATGTACTCGTCCATTCCAGTGGGACTCGATTCTTCTCGAACGAATGAATCATTGCGGTGTCTATGCGATGTTAAGGTCATCCGAGGGCGGGCCATATTGTGAGGTTAGGTCGAGTCCACACCGGCCCGCAACAATACTTACAAGTATGTTACCTCCTATGATCTAATCTCCATTTTTCAGTACCAAATCCCCCTCCCAAAACTGTCTTCCAGACAATCACAAAACTCTTCTGGACTTAGTGTCCAGTCGCTCCTAAATCTCGCATCCCAATACTAGCCTTCAGGCACCCAGGGCTACGCCCTTCCCCAACACATAAGCAGGAATAGGAGCTGCCATTCTTCGGCCGCTGGTTCCTCGGAGGTGGATCGTTTTTAGTGGGTATTTCGAATCCCACACTGTCTAGAAGTTATTTCTATGACCGTCTCTCTCGAGATGGTCATGGAAATGATCAGTATTCGTCTATAAAAGATTTTTAAACCACCCCCTCAACAAAAATTTTTTCTTTATTAAATTTTAATGGGGTTTTAAGTTTTTTTATGTAATAAAGATAAATAGAATGATATTTAATAGTTATTTTAAAAAGACGATAGAATGGTATTTTATCGTCGACCGAAAATATTAATTCAAGAGCGATGAAATTGCGAGTGAATTAATTTCGGGAGACGATAATGCAATTTCGATTCCATAGCGAGTTACGTTTTAAAAAATATTCAGAAATTATTATTTCAAGGAATTTATTACGAGTAGAAAAAATATTGTGCTGGGTTGGCGTTGGTTTCTACGTAATTTGACAAATAAATAAAGCTGTCTCTTTAGTTGCCAGTTTTGAGTCAATATTTTTTAATTCTCTTTCGTGTCGATTGCTGATTGAATTGGAGCCAGAAATGGCTCAAAACGAAATAAGTAAATTACCAACAGATATTCGGGCTGAGGCGGCATGTGCCATATCCAAACTACTTCCATTTAAATCCCGAATAACTTATGAAAA